CTGCTGTGTCCGTTAGCGAACAGCATTTGTTTGTAGAAATCCAACAAAAGCTTATTTTATAGTCATGAAATCGTAGATTTTCCTCGACAGAGATAAATGCACTCAGTTATCAGGCTGTTTGCATCCGTTTCTCTCCTCTCAGAGGAGTCTAGGTGTCTCTGAGGCCTCGCTCACGAGTCTAAATCCCAGCTAGATTTTATTTTATTCCCAAAACATTGTGAGAAAGTTCTGCAGGATTCTAGTAATGCTTTGAGGGAATGTTTTTTCTTAAGTTCCCAGAATGTTCTTCTCAAAGGCAGCATAAAGACTTTCTAAGAACGTCCCCAAAGCATTTGACAGATGTTTGCACTGAGAACGTTTCTCCTCTGTGATCAGGTGACGCTGTGGGAATGTTCATGGAAGAACGTTTTTTAAGTGTTTCCTCAACAACATCCACAAAACGTTGCAGGCGAAACGTTTGTCATCACGTAAACGAAAAGTTTTAGAAACATTCTGTCTTCTGAGGCCTTGATAACATGTTGAAAGCTTTTTATTTATTTATTTTTTATAAGTCACACTATGCCATTATTATTATGTTCAAGATTCAAGACTTTTTATTTGTCACATATTCATACAGTATGTGCAGCAAAATGCGGAGTGAGTGTAACAAGAAGACATTGTGTTGTAAATGATTNTTAGGTTTAGGTTTTGGTTAAAAAAGTTTTGAGTAAGGTTAAGCTACATTAGGTTAGCTTGGTTTTGGTTAAAGTTAAGATTATATTTAGGCTAAGGATTAGGTTTAGGTTAGAGTTCAGATTTTTAGGTTTAGATTTAGGTTAAGATGACATTTAGTCTCAGGATTAGGTTAGGTTGAGTTTAGGTTAAGTTAAGATTAAGTGTAGCTTCAGGTTTAGGTTGAGGATTAGGTTTAGAGTTAGGCTAAGTTTAGGTTAACACGTTATTTAGGGTAAGGTTAAGTTAAGAGTTCGGTTTTGTTGAGGCTACATCAAGGTTAGGTTTAGTTTCAGGATTAAAACATAATAAAGTTTAGACTAGGTTTAGCTTTAATTAACATGACATTTAGGGCAAGGTTAGGCTAGATTAGATTGTGGTTACGCTAGCTTTAGGTTTACATTTAGTTTTAGGTTTAGATGAAGAGGTTAAGATAGAGTTTAGAATAAGTTTAGGTTTAGATTCAGGTTAACATGACAATTAGGTAGGAACTGTGTTGGGTATAAGTGAGGCTATGTTGAGGTTTAAGCTAAGGTTACATCTTTGTTTCAGGATTAGGTTAAGTGTAGAGTAAGGTTGGGTTTAGGTTCAGCTTAAGTTTTTTGTAAGGTTAAGTTGGGCTTAGATGAAGATGAAGGTATGGTTTGGTTTAGTTTAGGATAAAGTTTAAGTTTGATTCTCCAGGAAATGAATGTAAGTCAATGTAATGTCCTCGGAAGTGATGGAACCATAACTCTGTGTGAGTATAAATACATCCATGACCTCTGCTTTTTTTTTTACACGTTGTCTCCTGTGGGATACTGTTAACACACACACACACAAACACACACACACACACACACACACACACACACTCGGTGCAGTGTTGCGGCAGGATGGCGGGTGGCAGCCGTTATTTATGTCTGCTTTCTTTAGTGAGGTTTCTCACAGGAACAGGAGCCGAGCAGGAATCCAACGCTTCCTCTGCGCCCGCCATTTATCACTCTTTATTAACACAAAAACACACAAGCTGCAGACACAGACCGACAATTACACCAGCAAAAAAACACAGACACACCGATGCATGTCAGGAATGTGTGGAGGATACTGATGAAACTGTGCCACGACGCCCCCGACGTCTAATAATAATCCACGATTTCCTAATACAGCCACAGGACACCTGAGCTCTGTGTAATGAGGCAGGACCTGAGGTTAGCAAGTTCGACGGCGGTTCACTTCTTACCGGATACATCACCATGGTAACTGATGCTGAACTCCTAACAGATCAACACATATGAAAACACCTCCTACTGACCAGTTCAGTCTCTTGCTGAACACCATCAGCGTTCCTGGTGGAAGATCCGCTGGAGCTCAGAGGGCAGACCTCTAACTCTGAGGAGGGAAACTGGTTTGAAAGCTTAAAGGGACTTTATTGTTCCAAATGCCTTCATATATCGATATAAACCTAAAGCTGAGACTGATGAAGCACTAAATCCTTGTATGTCTTGATTTTATAAGATTGCAGTGAGTTTTCTTCTCAGTGTCAAACGACACTTTTATATTTGTTCT